CCTTATAGTGGAGGGCCAGGAGATAAAATTTCTTCTGGACACTGGAGCAACCTTTTCTGTACTTCTCTCTAACCCTGGTCTTTTATCCCCCAAATCTTGTAACTATACAGGGGGTGTCTGGAAAGCCGGTTACCAAATTTTTCTCTCAGCCTTTAAGCTGTAATTGGGAAGACTGGCTGTTCTCTCACACCTTCCTAATCATGCCTGAAAGTCCTGCTCCCCTTTTGGGGAGGGACATACTCCAACACCGAATTCACATAGACTGTTACCCCAGGGATTTAGGGTCAGTCCTCACTTATTTGGACAAGCCTTAGCCAAAGACTTGAGTCTTTTTTCATATCCTACACAGACTCTCTTTCAGTATGTAGATGACATTCTTTTGGGAGCATCAGATGCAGAGGAATGCCACAAAGCTACACAAATTCTATTAAACTTTCTAGCTGATTATGGGTACAAAATTTCCAAAGCTAAAGCCCAATTATGTGTCCCAGAAGTTCACTATTTGGGTCTCCAGCTTTCACCAGAGAAGAGAGCCTTGGGCAAAGAAAGAATAGAACCAATACTGGCTCACCCTAAACCTCGAACTCTCATATTTCAAGGCTTCTTAGGAATTATAAGCTTTTGCAGACTCTGGATTCCTGGATATAGTGAAATAGCTAGACCACTCTATTCTTTAATTAAAAATGCTCAAAGTTACTCTAGAATGGGAACCGGAAGCAAATAAGGCATTCCAACAGTTGAAAACTGCTCTTTTGCAGGCCCCCACTTTAAGTCTTCCCACTGGACAACAGTTTAATCTGTATATTACAGAATGAACTGGAATTGCACTGAGAGTTCTGGCCCAACACTGGGGTCCAGTTTTACAACCTGTAGCATATTTTAGTAAATCAATTGACACCGTGGCCAAGGGATGGCCACACTGTCTACAGGTTGTAGCAGCTGTAGTCCTCCTAACCACATAAGCAACCAACTAACTTTAGGAAGAGATCTAATTATTTACACTTCTCATGACCTTACTGGACTTTTAAATTCAAAAAGCAATCTTTGGCTGGCAGATAACTGCCTTCTTAAATATCAAGCCTTATTACTAGAAGGACCAGTGCTACAATTACACACCTGTGCTGCTCTGAATACTGCCACTTTCCTCCCTGAATCCAATGAGATAGGGCATGACTGCTAACAAATTATAGCACAGCCCTATGCAGCTAGGACTGCCCCCCTATCTAATCCTGACATGGTTTTATATACAGATGGAAGTTCTTTCATAGAACATGGAACTCAAAAAGCAGGCTATGCTGTAGTTACTCAGTATGCTGTAATTGAGAGTGGGTCTCTCCCTCCAGGATAAAGAGGCTAAAATAGCAGCAAAGAAAGGAATAATTCCCCTTGTGGCACCCCTTATTTGGGAGGGATCACTTGAGAATCAAGCACCTCAATATACCCAAAAAGAAAAGGAACGGGCTTTATCCAGGGACTATTCACTACTTCCATCAGGCTGGCTACAAAATAGAAAGGGGCTTTTGCTATTATCTGCCACAAGCCAATGGAAAATACTTAAAACTTTACACCAGTCTTTTCATTTTGTCACTGAAAGTACCTATCAAATGGCTAAAGCTCTCTTTAATGGAAAAAACTTATTTAAAACCATAAAACAGATAATAAGGACTTGTGACCACGTATGTCAAAGAAACAATCCTTTAAATTACCATCTAGCTCCCCCAGGTATACAGAGACAAGGTAAATATCCAGGTGAAGATTGGCAAATAGATTTCACTCACCTCCCTAAAGTACATGGCAATATTTGCTGGCATTTGTGAATACTTTTACTAATTGGGTGGAAGCATTCCCTTGTAGAAAAGAAAAGGCCCAGGAAGTTGTAAAGGCTTTAGTAGTGAGATTATCCCTAGGTCTGGACTAGGAGTTTGCACGTGATAATGGGCCAGCCTTCAAGGCAATTGTGACACAAGGAATATCTAAAGCCCTGGGCATAAAATATCATCTCCACTGCTCTTGGAGGCCCCAATCCTCTGGGAAAGTAGAAAAAATGAATGATAAAATCAAAGGACAGTTATGAAAGCTAACTCAAGAGACTCATCTCCCTTAGACTAAATTGCTTTCCATTGTTCTCCTTAGAATAAGAAATTTACCAAAGAACCTCGGCTGTAGCCCATTTGAATTATTATATGAAAGACCCCTTTTAACTAAGGATTTATTATTAGATCAAGAAACTACAGAATTAGTAAAACACATTACTTCTTTAGTTAAATATCAACAAATCCTTAAAAACCTCCCAACTGCATTTTCACATTCAACACTAAAGGAGCTTTCTCTCCTGGAGATCTAGTCATGATCAGAACTCTTCCCTAACCCCAACTTGGGAAGGTCCCTTTTCTGTTATCTTGTCTTCTTCTACAGCCATTAAAGTTATGGGAATAGATTCCTGGATGCATCATTCACAAGTAAAATCCTGGAACCCACCACCTTCTACAGAAGCAGACCATGAAGAGAATCAACCACAGTCCGCCTACACTTGTGAGCCTAAAGAAAGTTATTATTTAAGAAACAGCAAGAAAAGTGTTGATAGTTTTCTTTTAAACATCACTGACCTTGTTCTTCTAACCTGACACTGTAATTAACCCCCTCCTCTCACTGTTCTACCCTTGCCTTTTAGTGTGATTAGATTTGTGTCTTCCAGAAATGTCACCAAGCCACACACAGTAAAGATGGTTCCAGTCCAAGACCTGATTCCATCGTGAACCCCTGGATCACTCTCCCTCCAGAGAACCCCCAACTGCCTCTTCCTATCATTGCCAGACTCAGCAGGAAGCAGTTAGATGGAGTCTTTGTCCCTTTTCCCTAACAGCAGTTAGAGTTTCTACTTGGAGAGGGAGAGTTGATATAGGACAAGTGGCATCCCAGCCAGCTGGTGGAGCTGGGGGGCACAGACCCGCTGCCTCTGCCTTGGCAATGTTGGTGCAGTGGCAGCAAACAGCAAAACCAGCAGGCTGGGGGGGGGGCATCTCCTAGGCCTGGGAATGAAAGGGATTGTAGCTATTCATCTGCCACCCAGACATGACCCAGACACGCTAATGTAACTATTGAGGGCTCCACAGGACTATATCTACCCTAGACAAAGAGCCTACAGACAGACAGGAAGAAAGAGAGCACTTTTCTCTCCTCACTTTGCCAGTTTTCTGCCAGCTCTGGCACTTCTCTATTCTTTTCTGTAAATAAATCCAGTCTTACCACTGATCTGTGATCTGCGGATTCATTCTTCAAATCACTGAGACCAAGAACCTATTGAAGAGCGGAATTCCAGAATCAGTATCACTGTGATTGGGCTTAGCCCTTTTACACCTCTGATCTTAGTCCTTGGACAGCCTATAGTAGTTAGCATTTTACAAAACTATTCATTCGACAGTTTTCTTTTTTGCAGTTGCTTTCTCTTTATGTGAGTAGCAGCACTGGTTTACCATTTGGGGGGCAAGAAGAAAAGAATGTCAATTTTCAATAAATTGATGTAAATATTGATGTGCAGATATAGGCTATACCTTGCCTTGAAGAGGGACAGAGTGGTGTAAGTATCCCAGCTTCTGCTACTGGATTCCCCTAAGCTTCAGTGTTCTCATCTGCACAAGGGGAATAATTGTAGCACTAACCTCAGGCTGTGAAGATGCCATGAGATTATGGAAGTCAAGGGCTTTGGGCCAGATTCACGTTATTAATGACACACAAACCATGTACTTTAGGCTGCAGAAACAACCTTTGCTCTACAACCAGTACCCTTCCTTTAGCCCACGCCCTGCTGAGTGAGGTCCATCTCTCTCAGCTTCCATGTCCCCATCTGTGAAGTGGGGCGGAGAGTTCTGGCCCCAGAACACACCCACACCCACATCCTGCCCACTGCCAGAAATTGGAAGGACCAAGGAATTTTTTTTTTTTTTTTTTTTTTTTTT